GGTAAATATTCACAACACACCCATGCTACACATATTGAAATTTCGCATGATCAGATCCTGTAGGAAAGAAGTTACGGCTGAAAAGTACAACTGAAGAAGCATTTCTTCAAATACTTTTGAGCGCTACTAAATAAGTTAGTGCCGAGGTTCATCGGAAGTCGGACACGAATCCTACCTAGAGTGGTACAGTGGTTTGTATTTAAGTCTCATCGAAATTAGGTACCCCCACCCATCATGAGGACAGGAGCAATCCAGACACCCCTATGTGGGTGGGCCTGATGGTGCGGGTATTCCAGTGTTCTTTTCAAATTTCGGGCAGAATTGCTGCTGTTCTCTCCTCCAGATCATACTTTATCGCTTCTCTGCAGGACTTTTTAATGAGTGGAGAAAGAGGTTCGAAGCTCAGAAAAGGAAGCCCCCAAACCATATCAGCTGTGATCACTTCATCTTCCTGGAGAATTTGCGAGAAGATTCATCATCGACAGCATCGATAAAAGATAGAAATGGCTGAACTTGACGAAAGTGCTAGGGAATCGGGGAGTCTACAAGTTGTCAGAAGACGCCAGCGTGAGAACTCACAGGTTGCAACAACCAAGTAATTTCCGGACTCGCAAAACTGTGCAGAGAAGCGATAAAGTAAAACCTGGAAGGGAGAAGAACAGTGGTTCCACCTACAATGCAATTCAGAGAAAAAGAGGTGCATTAGCAATACACGCACCATCACGCCCTCCCATTCAAGAGTGTCTAGATTGCTCATGTCATAATGGGTACTAGTATACAATTCTGGTGAAAGACAAGCACAAATTACTGCACCGTTCCACACATGTAGGATCCGTGCTTGAATTTCGATGAATGTGTTGGCAATATGTATACTAGTTTGATTACTAGTGCACTATAGTACAGCGGGGCTTCAATTTCTTAGTTAAGCTTCGACTGGGTCAATGTCCTTGAGATTCAGAAGACATCCTAGATTCCAATGATTCTTTCGCTCAGCATTGTAATTCGATTATGACTACAGAGTGCGGAAAAATAATCATACGAAATGTATGAATAAGGTGTCTTATAAACACCTCGTCGATTGCACTCTTGATGGCTGAGCATTTCTCGAAGGATTTGCCTGTGGAAAATATTGTGAGAGTAATTATTTGAGGCAGATCCTTCTTCTCAGCTAGAAATGTTCCCGTCAAGGATAGAAGAGATGTTGCTACGGTTGTCTTGCAGAAATCGGTCGAATGAAAGAAAACAGGGACTTGGACCCGTTTCTTGCAAATGATCCCATTCACAGGTAGTGATTTGTGCAAGCATTAGCACTGAAAATCATGGCGAATGTTTTGAAAGTATTCAAGGAATCCAACGCACCCGTCGTAGCTACCACTTCCAGATCCCTTCAGTGCCTCTTTTACGTAAGGCCTTTTTGTGCTAGCAAATTTTACAAACTTCCAATGTCCCTTTGAATATTTAGCATTCTACGCTTGGAACTTCATAGTCTCAAGATGTGTATTT